CCCCAAAACCCCAAAACCCCAAAACCCCAAAACCCCATCTAAACCCTCCTCACTAGAAAATTTAAATACCTTAACCCCAAAAATGTCTCAAATCTCTAACAAATCCGCCTTCAGTGACATGAACCTGAGCATCCTCTGGAAGCAGGCGGTCAACCACCCCAGTTTCGAGCACAAGAAGAAACTGTGCCTAGACTTCGTAGAGAACAAGACTAATAACTTAAGAGAGATTATGAATACTTGTAATGGAAGAGACAAGTTCTTGGCTATTATTCAGTATAGTTGTGGAGTCAAGGATAACTTGCAGAGGTAGGGGAGGGAGAGAGAGGGGAGAGGAGAGGGAGAGGAGGGGGAGAGGGGGTGGAGATTGGAGGGGTAGAGGGGATAGAGAGGTGGAAAATGTGTTTTAGAGTGTGCATTGGGGGTTTATGGCAGAATATGGTTATATTTACCTGAAATCTTATTAAATTGGAAGACTGTCTTAGCGGAAATATTTTCTAATTTTAGTTTTTCTTATTTTTATTTCTAATTTAGCGTCAATGGAGGCTATACAGAAAAAGGTGCCAATGTAAGGAAAGCTGTAGACTGGGATAAAGTTCAAGGACAACTTTCAAGCGGAAGGAAAGTATTTAGGCTCCTCAAATGGAGCGATGAGATCGGCAACATGGTAAAACATTCTAGAGGTACTAAAAAGAAGGAATTCTTCAAAGAAGTCCTATTCTACTCTGGAGGTATTTGTTCGTTCTTCTATTATTTCCTCGATAACATCATCTGGGCTAGCTCGAACAGGTACAAACTTCTTAGAAGAATTAAGGATTTATTCTCTCTGGGCAGATGTCTTATTGAGATCTACAAAAGTCTCTATGAAATAGCGACAGACCTTAAAAGTGAAGAGAAAATACTTAAGAAATTAGGTCTTTATGATGACTGATTCATTGCTGAAACAGAAGAAAGTTATCATCTGATCCGAGACTTGATCAAAATTAGACACCAAATGAGTTTTTATGTTCTTGAACTAGTCACAAATGTTCTCAGAGTCTTTATGCTCTGGAAGTCGCTCAGGTTTGCAGGCTCAGACTACATTGAAGAAATTTTTGTAAATATTTGTGGTGTCCTTAGTAACTTCTTTGCTCTTCTGAAAACGATCAAAAGAAAAACGTACGAAAAGATCTGAAAGAAGGAGAAAGAAATATCGTTAAAAAGAGAAGAAAGAGAGGAAATAGTTCAAGAAGAAGAGAAGAAAAGCAACTTCTTACTCTTCGATGAGATCATCTCATGTGATGACTCTTCTCTCGGTAAGAAATACAACCAATACATTCATATTTTGTTTTAACGAAGTCTAATTGCTGTTATAGAAGGAGCAAACGATAGGCTGGAGAAACAAGTGAAGAAGTTCAATCTCGGTAAAATAAGCCATCAAAAGTCAACAATGAGCTCATCTAAAAATAATGTCTCCCCATCAAATAACCCTAAGAAGCAGAACTCAAGGTTGAAGCATGCTAAAAGTAGTCACGATATTTATAGAACTGGGAGGATAACTGATTTGAGAAAGGCTAATGGGTTACATCAGTCATAATCCTATATGTACTTTCCTAACTTAATAACCAAAGCCGTGTAGAGCAAGGTATTAAATGTAAATAGCAATATGACATCATCTTTGTATTTCCAAATAGATAGTCAATAACAAAGAATGAAATGGGGTTTTGGGGTTTTGGGGTTTTGGGGTTTTGGGGTTTTGGGG